GGGCTACGGGTCTAATTGTTAAATATTCTGTTAAGAGCGCATTCTCTTCCGGCCAACGGCCGCGCTCCTTTGTCAGCACCAAGAATCGCGACCTCTGGCCAGACCGGATTTTCTGAGCATGCGCAGAGAATTTGTTTCGTATTCTCAGCCAATCAGATTTGTCAGACTTGACTCTGGGCATGCGCAGAGTGACGGGAAGTCCGAGAATCGCGGACTTCCCGTGTTGGACCAGGCCAGAGGTCGCGATTCTTGGTGCTGACCTAAAGGAGCGCAGCCTCTGAGGACGAGAATGTTGAGGGCGTTAACGGGGAACCATCACGAGCTGCGCGTGTGCAAAATAGTTTTTTCGGCAAAAACGATAATTATACTTGATTTTGGAGATTTTTAACTAAATAATTTTGATGTCAGTAACTAAACGTTCGTTTTATTATTGACTAGTAGTTTCACTAACTCTTTTACCTAGGGAATAACTCTCTTACAGACCATTTTCTGACAACCTTTCTGATAAAATAACTTGAGGATCCTGGAAAGTGAGACCTGGACGTAACACCCCCCTGCTACCAAAAAAATTATTTAATACCCATATATACTGCACTCCGCTAGCAATTTTAAAAAAATGTTTACGTTAGCCAACATTGTGCAATGAATTCTAGAATGAATTGTTCAGTCTTCATCGTCCCAGTGCTTCTCAGGAATTTCATCTGGTTTATACATCCACGTCTGAGTAAGATATCGATGATGTATTCCAATGTTTTCAATTGCCTTCATGTCATCTTCGTCTAGTTTTACATGAAGTGCTTCAAAATTCTCTTTGATGTGACTTTCAGAGACAGCTTTAGGCAGGACTGGAGTTTCACGCTTGATGCCCCAGGCTAGAGCGACCTGACAAAAGGAAAAAAAAAACCTTTAACCTCACAATTTTAACTTTCAGTTTGTAATATATCTGTGCCAATTGAAGGAGAGCATTGTAAAAGACATTTATTGGCCATAATAAGAATTTTGTGATTACTACCCGGGGGGGGGGGGGGGGGGTAGGACAGGGGTGCTCATCAAAATTTTCAAAAAGAATCCCTAAGAGGTACCATGATCCTGTTTCCCTTGTGAGATAACTTTAAGAATTCCTAGGAATTCCTAGGAATTTTCTAAGAATTCCTAGGAATCTAAGGTGTGAATTTTCACGGTAATTCGGACTTGGAATTCCTAGGAATTCCAAGTT